CATCTCTACCCTTCGAACATGGCCAACGCCGACGAGGATGCATCTGCACAGGGCTAGGTTGGAACGCGGAATAGGGTTGGATGAGTGAAGTTACAACATCGGGTGCCAGGTGCGCGTTGCGATCGGCGCGTAGCTGGCAAAGGCCGCTTGCTCGTCGACCGGGACCTTGTTGGCAGTGCAGTACGTCTGGTAGTCGCGCCACAAGGTCGCTGTCGCTTGATCCGTCGCACTGGCGACCAGCTTGCTCGAGAAGGTACCGGCGTGGTGGCACGTAGCACTTGAAGCTGCAGGTGGCGTGGTCGCAGAACGTCGTCGACTTGCCTTGACGCAGGCAGTTGGCGCAAAAATGGTAGGCAAAGGCGGGACAAGTGGAACACTCGAACCAAAGCCCTTGCTTGCATCGGCTGGCTGCAGCCAAAGCAGGTTTCGTCTTGCCACACTTCCGTCTCGAGCTCGTTCTTGGCGAAGAAGGCGACGACGACCTTGGCCCACGCCTCGTCACTTGCGGGGTTGTGCGCCGCAAAGGTCGGGTCGAGGAGGAACCGGTAGAGCGCCGACGCCCCTTGGCTCGTGTCGGCGTCGCCCGGCGGCAAATGGGCCAGACACCACGCCAAGTTGTCGAGCAAGTACTGCTTCCCGAGGACGTAGTCGCCCTTGGACCAGTAGAGCTGCGCAAGCAGAAAGAGCAAGTGGATGTACTGCCCTGGCGCGGGTGGACTCTTCTGGAACTGGTCCCAGATCGGAAGCCAGAGCGCCTCGGCCGCTGCGTAGTCGCCAAGGAAGCGGTATGTCAAACCGAGGTTGAATGATGCAACCATCTGCTGTTGTGCAATGGGCCATACATGCGCTCCTGCACATCGCTCGTCTCCTCAAACAGCGTCTTGGCCTCGACAAGTTGGCCGCGCTTGAAGCAGATCATTGCGAGGTAGTCGCGCGTGTACACCGTGCTCGGGTGGTCTATTCCGAGAAGCGAGAGCTGCGCGCCCAAGCACTTGCGGAACCAGTGCATTGCTTGGTCATAGTCATAGAGCTTGTAGCTGGAGATGCCGAGCACACAACTGGCAGAGCTAACTGGCAGATGTCAACGTGTCGGCGTCTGAGATCTGAATCTCAACCCGGAATGTGTTGCCGACTTTGACAAGGTACATCGCAATAAAATGCATACAAGCGTAGGACGCAGGTTAGCAAAAGCGCCGTCACAAGATCGCCACTATCGAACTGTTCGTCCGTCTTTTCTTCGATTCAACAGGCCCACGTTAGTCACAGAGAGGCCTAGCCACCACTCCGGCATGGGTCAATACTCCAGGAACCTTTGGGATCTCGTCTCCACAACAAATGAGGCGAGCAGCCGCTCATTATCTTCACGCGTTGCTTCAGCTCGATGGCTCCCTGTCCGCTAAAATATACAGTGGTACACGCCACTGTGCAGACAAAAAGAGTAGTACTCATGTCGAGTGCTCGTCTAAAGTCGTAATTTGTATTCGAATGTATAGCATCTACTCCAAACTTATTGCAGCTGGGCGAGGACCTGAGCCACGTCCAAGTGTCCTTCGTCGCTCATAAAGGCGCGAACGAACGCAATAACTTCATGGTGGACCACATCCAAACCCAGAAGCCAGTGGGTCGCCTCGGCCACACTCAGCTCCTTCTGTCCGCGCACCTACGTCCGCGTTACCACTGTATCTCTCCATCGCATCAAAGTACTACCTTGGCCACAAGGGTTGGGGTTGCGCGCAGCGCGGCTAAGATCTTGGCGGTCACCTTCTTGCGGTCCGCAAAAGGAAAGTCGATGACGTTGGTCTCCATGTACTTGGCCGAGTACTCGTCCATGTTGTCGAGAAGGAAGACACGGCCCACGAGGTGGATGCGGGCGCCGACGTAAAAGTCGGGTTTTTGAAAAAACGCGCCCGTGAGTGGGTTTTTGTGCACGCCGCGCTCCATGAACTTGCCGCCACCAATGCCGCTGTTGCGCTGGGGCGGCTCCATGATCATGACCGAGAGGTCGCAGATCATAAAGCTCACAATGAACCGCCGGTGCACGTCCTCGGGCTTTGTCGTGTCCATGGCTGCGCAAAAGCGCAAAATGATCTTGTTGTCTGTCTCCTCCATCGACTTGCGGTGTGGCTTTGGCGTGAGATGGTAGCACGACCCGAGCGAGTCAATGTCCGAGCCCATGCCGTTGTGCGGCGGCGGTACAAATGCTGGCGGCTTGGGCTTGGTTTCTTGGACGACCAAGGCCGGCCCAACGTTGATCCCGTGGTCCTTGTACCTAGAGCATTGCATTGTATGTTGTTGGGAGGGCGAGGGGTAGGGTCAATGTACCACTCGCGCGTGCTCTCGTCCGCATCCAAGAGCAAGATGTTGCGGTTGTAAATGTTGATGTAGCTCCCAACAAAGAGGTGTTCCCAGCTGAAAAAGTCGCCTTCTGGCGTCCGTTCGTCCGAGGGCGAGAGCGCCGTGGCAAATGGTCCCTCGAGTTTTGGCTGCAGCAAGAGGCGGCTGCGGTTGAGCAGCTTTGGGAACGGGTCGCAGCCCGAGTTGCGCTCGTACGATTCGCGGATCTCGACGGTATTGTCGGCCAAGAAGAAATGAATCGTGTATCTAAGCGCCGGTGAAACGCATTCAGAATGAACAGATATGTACCGATGCTTGGTGCCGTAGAGCTTGGACGTGTCGTCCCAGAGCGCAAACCACCGGAGCACGTGGCGGTCGTGGTCGTTGAAGCGCTTGCGGTGGTCGGTTGGCCGTGCAAACTTGCCAAGACTCGCCTCCATAAACTCTTTCATCGGATACTGCTTCTTGCCGTAGTTGGCGTCCATGTCGGTGCCCGACTCGCGCGCCATGTGCGCCTTCCGGGCCTCCGTGTACGCGTCCCGCGGCGTCACGAGGTCCCGGCGCTGGCGCCGCCCGTGCTCTTGGAGATAGTCCATCGTAAACTTGTCGGCCGACTGCACGTGGAAGGTGCGGCCGTAGAACGTAACTTCGGCGCCAATCTCCAAGTCGTCGTGGGTGTAGTAGGTCATGTCGCCCTGCTCGTCCGACTCGGGCTTGGGAATTTTGTGGCGCTTGACAAAGTTGCCTTGGAGAATGCCACTATTCTCGACCTTGGGCTCAATGATCTGGATCGTGTCGTCCTCGAGGTAGTAGAGGATAATGCACTTGCGGACGCGGTAGTTCTCGAGGTTGCTCTCGTGGACAGCCTCGAGAAAGTAGCCTTCGAAGCGCAGCACCTTCTTGTCGAGTGCGATGAAGTTGGGCACCTTGGACTTGGAGCTGTCAAAGACCGTGATCGGCGCCATTGACGGCGCTGGCACCTCGAGCTCGCGCACGTAGACGTACGCTGGCGTGTGCTGGCCGAGCGCGTGGCCGCGCGGCTTGGGCGTGACGTCGCCATGGCGGCGAAGCATCATCGGGACCGCCGCTTGCTTCTCGAGGTACCCGCTGGGCATGGCTCTCTCGAAATGGGCTCAACCGATAATGCAGCGAAAATAGATTGCGTTTTGGATCCTAGCGAGAAGGCCATTGGGTGACAGGATTGGAACCGGGCGATATGATTGGCGCATTGTATTTATATGGACCAATGAAATCCCAGACTTTAGCACAGGCGTCTGCTGCAACACGGGTGCATTGATCGTCGTCGCTGTAGCACCGAGCAAACGCTCTCTTCACAGTTGCGGTGCCGAGACGGCGGTACTCGTGCCACATTTGCCTCGCCACTCACGATCATGGCAGCTCCGGTTGGGATGTTCATTGCTGTGGTGCTGCAGTTATAATGCGTGTTCATGCTTGCAAATGAGGTTATAAGCATATATTCGAGCACACAACACAAGCACCTGGCTCCCGATGGGCTCTGTCACCTCGACAAATACACTGGACTTGCGAACCTCTTCGGGCGTTGAATCAACGCGTCCAGTATGCACGACGATGATGTCCGACGTTGCTTCTCGGCAACAGCGGCGAAGACCACCAGTTCCATATACTGCACGAACTAGGGTGTGGAAAGTCATCTCTGATTGGTTGGAACTATAACAAATCTCGGTTATTGAGGTGGTGACAGTATAATTCGCGTTGTTGGGCGATGAGTACAGGCATGGCGGCGCCTTCGTCGCGCCCGCTCGGCGTCTCGCTGCGCTACTTCCACCACCTCATCGAAGCCTGCGGCGGTCGCAAGAAGCTCAACGGTCTCACCACGGCCCAAGTCTGCTTCGACTATATTGTGCCATTGACCAAGTCGACCGAGCTCTCGCTCGTCGACCATCTTGCCAGTGATGCGTCCATGCGCCACTTTGTGTCTGAGGCCAACTGTTATGTCTCGCACGCCTGGCAGTACCTCTTCTTGGAGACCGTCGACAGCCTCGACACCTTCTTCGCCGACCAAGGCTTGGCAGACGACGCCGTCCTTTGGTTTTGCGTCTTCAACAACAACCAGCACCTTGTGCATTCGTACCTGTTCGAGTACTGGTCGTCGACGTTCAAGACGCAGCTCGCAGCTATCGGCAACGTCGTCATGATCATGCACCCGTGGAACGACCCGGTCGTCTTGCGTAGGAGCTGGTGCGTCTTTGAGGTGTACGTGGCTGTGACGATGCAGGCGCGGTTCGAGATGGCCATGGCACCCGGTCAACTGGAGCTCCTCGTTCAAGATATGCTTCGTCCAGATGCGCTCAAGGATATGCTGGGGACGATCAAGAGCGAGGCGTCCGAGACCACGGTGCCAAGTGATCGCGACGGCATCTTTGAGCTCATTCGCGCCGAGACGTCGTTCATGGCCGTCGACCGACTCATCTTTTCGACTATTTCGGACTGGATGAAGCGGACGCTGACGGCGCAGATCGCATCGGGTCTCTTGCCACTAGACGAAGCCCACCGTCATCTCTGTCTGGCCAATATTCACGCGACCGAGTTTGATTATCCCGCCGTCTTGTCAGCTGCGAGTCGGGCCCGCTTGCTCTTCGGGTCGAGCGACGTCCGCGATGTCCACTATGTCCACGTCATTGCACACGTGGGCTTGGCGTCTTGCGGCGTCGGCGAGCCAGAGACCACGTGGCGCCCAATCTTTGAAAATCTCTTGGCCCTGGACGGCTTCGAACCCGCGACCGTCTGCTACGTTCGGAATGCCTACGCCCGCGCACTGATCATCGTCAAGCACGCAGCAGAGGCCTATGCGGTCTGTTGTGAGACATATGCCTTGTCGCTCGTACATCTCGGGCCGCTGCACACGTTGACGATCGCGACCATGGCCATCCTTGGCAGGTCCAGCTACAACCTCAACGACTTTGACCAAGCCATTCCGTGGTTCCGCAAATGCTTGGGCGCGCAGCTCACTCTTCTCGGGTCGGACCACCCCGACACGGTGTACACGCGCGACTACCTCGGGATCATTTGCTTTCGCCGCGGCCAGCTCGCCGAGGCCAAGGCGCTGTTTGAAGAGACCAACGCCGTGCGAGCCCGAATTCATGGGCCGCTACACGACCAAACGACGGCCGCGCTCTTGAACCTGGCGGTGGCGTGCCACTACCTCGGTGACTTTGCATTGGCAGAGACGATCGTTCAACCGCTGTGGGCCCGAGCGTCGACGCTGCCCCCCGAGCGCTACATCCATTTGGTCTTTCAGCTCGGCGCGCTCTACTGGGCCAAAGGCGACTACGACAGTGCCAAGCACTATTTAGAGATGTCGTTGGCGTGGTGTCTGGCCCATTTGCCGCCGGGCGACGCCGACACGAGCCAAGGGGCGTCGGCGTTCTACCGGTTCCTCCTCGACCCGACCTTTGCGGCGCACAACCCAACGAGCGACGAGGCGTGGGCCAAGGTCGTCGCCTTCTTCGACAAGAACGAGCTCGAGACGGAAGTGTGGCTCGACGAATCCTGCTTTGGCTGCAGCCAGCCGATGCAAGGGCTTTGGTTCGAGTGTTCCACTTGTCCCGCCTTTGCCTACCATTTTTGCGCCAACTGCCTTCGTCGAGGCAAGTCGACGACGTTCTGCGACCACGACACGTGTGGCTTCAAGTGCTATGTGCCACCGCGCCGGTACTTTCTCGAGCAAGCGCTCGCCACGCGCGACAAGGCGGCTGTAGCCGAGTACGCTGCGTACTGCGCACAGTACAACGTGGCGGACCCTGTCGTGATCGAACCGATGGCGTCTGACGACCCGATCGCGACGCGCGTGTGGCACCCGATGCTCTAGCAGATATGAGTCTGTTGAGTTGAGAATGAACGGATGGCATTGCTGTCTTATGGAAGGAGAGGCTCAACACCGCGGCGAAGGCGAGCGAAGCCGACAGCAGCACCGCGCACGGATCACTAGCTAGCAAGCCTTGCGAACGGCTCAAGCTCTAGCATCGTCATCCTCGCGTTGAAGCCCGTCAACGCGACGCAGGTATGGCTCAAGACCATCGCTCTTCGTCCGTATCCTGTCGCGCCAACTCAAAAAGGGTGCTTGGCATCTCTCCCGCGTTACGCACGGCCTTGCTACGATGGCGTGCTGCCATCAACGTCATGTTCGCAACAATTGAGTTTGAGTTTGAGAAATATACCTTGACGTATCTATGCACGTCCCATATGGGCTCCTCGTCATTGAGTCTGGGGTGCTGTCGTCACCGGTCGCTGATTGGCGGAAAAGCGGCGAATTTGCACATTGGCCCCGACGTCGCCAGGTGTCATTTTCCAAGAAGCGGCGAACATGGCAGAGGAGCTCAAGGTGTTCACGGTGGACGAGGTCGCGGCCCACAAGACGACCGAGGACTGCTGGATCGTGGTCGGCGAGGCCGGCGCCAAGAAGGTCTACGACGTCACCAAGTACCTCGACGACCACCCGGGCGGCCCGGAGATCATCCTCGACCTCGCGGGTCAGGACGCCAACGAAGAGTTTGAGGACATTGGCCACTCGACCGATGCGCGCAAGGCGCTCGCCAAGTACCTCATTGGTACGCTCAAGGAAGAGCCCAAGAAGGCCGCCGCTGCCAAGGCCGTCACCGCCTCCAACGGCACGTCGGGCGGCAACACCTCGCTGTTCCTCTTCCCGATCATCATTGCCATTCTTGCGCTGCTGTACAAGATGAACAACTAGACGATTATGATAATGATGAAAAAGTATAGATGAACTCAATAGCTCGCGAATAAGTTATGGGCGCAGAATGCGTGCGTGCTGCCCGGGGCCGTTGTCAGCGGCGTCCAGTCGCCGCGCTCGGACGACGCGATCAACGACACAGTACCGCGGTGGCGGTGTGTCTCGTAGGATCCTGCACGCCGATGGATTCAGCGTGGCGCCGAAGCGGGCACCGCAGTCCAACACTGGCGTAGGAAGGCCACACTGCACCATGTCACCGCGTCGTTCCCACCGCGCATCGTGCTGCAGCAGTAGTCTGCCCGTCCAGGTAGCCACCGACACCTACCAACAGTGTCATGATTGTGCGTCTTCATTGTGCACAGAATTGTCCTATCGCCCTATCCACCGAGTATCCAGGATAGAGTCGTTGGTCGTCATTTCGATGGTGTGAATCGCAAGCGTTTTCGCTCGTCATATTTTTAGTTGATCAAATGAGCTGCTGGCGGATCGCTGACGAGATGCCGACGAAGCTTGTCGTCACAGCCGCGATCGAGCGCTTCGCCAACGGTCCCGCCAACCCGGCGCAAGTCGAGCGCATCACGACGTACCTCGCCGAGTACGAATCCTCGCTCACCTAACCTCTCAACGTCCTAACGTGTAGTCGCAACTGGTTTACCCACGCCGCCGACCTTCGCGTTGCGATTGCCAATGAAGCCCAGTGGAAGCTGTACAGCGTTGCTTGACCGACGTGGCGCACTCTCGCTTGGTTAGGATGGAGCTCCCGATTCGCCTCAAGCTCGCGCTCGAAGAAGTGCTGGGCGAGTGGGACACGCTTCAACCCGCGCCCGAGACGTCGTCGATTGGTGTCCCTGTTGCGCAAGCGGTCGCGAATGGAAGCTACAGTGCGAGCTATGCGTGGGTGTGTGTCTCGTGTGGCACCGAGAATCAGTTTGAAGACTCGTTTTGCGTCACTTGCTGCGAACACTACTCGATCTCGGTGCCCGACGCTGGCGCGCCGTCCGCCCCCGAGTTTGACGCCTCCATGGTACTCGCCTCGCCTGTCATTTTGCGATTTTTTGTTATGCTAGGCGGTGCCACTGGACGTGGGCTGCAGCGCGGCGGACCTGCCCACACCGTATATTGCAAGCTCGGTTGGTATTCGAGTGGTCATGATGACAGTGATGAGAAATGGCCCTGCGTAGGCGATGCCATTACCCCCCGCGCCAGCCGAGGTAGCTCCAGCATGACAGTTGTCGACTCATTTTGCTGCAGTACTACTAATGCCATAGGAGAGCATCATCCCGGTGCCAGCGCTCGACCCGGAATCGGAGCGGTTCAAGGCGCTGGCGTTTGCAAACCACCCACCGTCCCCCGCCTACGTTTAATAAGACGAAATAAGATCTGATGTAACCTTGTAGCTCCCAAAATGAAAGTAGAATTCTATTTGTCGTCGCCAAAGCGACTAGTAATGCAGCGCCAAGGACGGCAGCGTTGGGGACAAGCGTGCGAGCACGTCGTTGCCGTACGAGCCCCACAAATTTCCCGCCAGATTGACGCGCTGGAGCGTCAGGAGGGTCGGCAGTACGCTCGCGATCGCGTCGAAGCCGCGTTCGTCGATGTAGTTGTGCGAGAGGTCGAGCACGGTGAGGCTCCAGGACGGCAGCAGTTTTACGAGAGCCATCGCGTGGTGGGTGTTAATATTGTCATGGAGGTTAAGGACCCGGAGCGACGCTGGCAAGGCGTTCATGAGGCCTTCGAAGGTCGCTTCATCCTCGTCTTCGTGGTCAAGGCGCTGCTGCGAAAGGCTGAGAAGGCGCAGGCGTGTCGACGTTGCAAGCGCGGATGCCAATGCCGCGACGTCGCGGGTAGTGACCATGTTACTATCGAGCACGAGGCGCTCAAGACGCCGTAAGACGGGTGCCAGTGCCGCGATGTCGTTCGCATCGAGAGCAATGTTCTTCAGCGTGAGCGCGTTGAGATGGCGCAGTGACGCGATTGTCGTCACGGCCATCGGCGGTGCGGCAAGTGGCCAATTCCAGGGCATGGACACTCGGAGGCTCGTCAGGTGCTGCAAACGCGGCGCGCCAGCGAGGACGACCGTGTCGCTGTGGACGCTGAGCGACGTGAGATTCGGCGGCAGCGATGTGTGCAGTCGAGTTGGGCAGTATGTGGCAACGTCGCACGTCTGCAACGTCAGCGCGGTGATCGTCGGTGACTGCAAGAGGACGTCATAAAAGGCGGCAAAGTTCGCGGCATCGGCACGCTTGAGCGTCAATGACACTAAATGCACGTGGCGCAGCGGCGACGTCTGCAGCCAGCGGGTGAGCGTCTCGAGAAAATCATTCGCGAGCGGCGTTGGCCACCTTGGGGCTGTGACGCACGTCAGCACGACGCTGGTCGCGCGCGATGTCGCCAGTGCTGCGATGAGATCGACGCTCTGCGGTGTGCGCGGGCAGATGACGTCGAGATGGCGCAGCCGACGGAGGCCGCGCATGGCATCTTGCAGGCGCGAGAACATGGCTGGTGTCCACTTGCTATCGATGCGGATCTCAAGCGCCGTGAGTGCGTCGACAGCGTGCGTCATACTGCGTTGAAAGAGCGTCATGTCGTGGAGGCCCAGCCACGCGAGCTTGGGCAGGAGTCCGTTGGATTCCTGGTTGCCGTGCACCGAGATGCCAGCCTGCGGATAGAGCCGCAGCGCGGAGAGCACAAGGCCGAGCAATTGCGAGTCCTTGTACGTCTCCTTGGGCAGACGAAGGCGGGGCCAAAGGTATCGCCACTCGACGGCCGTCGCGAGGTGACGCAGATCCAGAAGGGCCGTCGAGAGATCGGTCTCTGGCATCGCAATGAGGAAGGCGTCCATGGCCTCGGCCGTCTCGAGGAACGAAGCAACATGCTCCAAGGCGTCCGGTGTCAGGGACGGTGTCATGTTGCGGCAAAGTGAGCAAAGTGCAATCTGTGAAAGTCTCGTGCGCCGGATGAGCTTCAAAACATCCGTTTTTTTGCGCTGCTCGTTGCTGTCGCTTCAGCTTGGGACGCACGCGATCAGCCGATGGTTCGAGCCATTTTCGACACGAGGTTTAGTTCAGGATTGTACTAGTATGTACGCTACAGCAAGGAATGGCGTGCGAGCCCGTACGATGGACACTACTCGTCGATCAACTTGCGCCGTTGCGGCGGGGACACGCGTCAAATACAGTCTCGCCCACGGTGTCATGCTGCCCGCGCTTTGTATGCCAACGTCACGCGCGACCTCGAGGTCACGCCGGCCGTAGCAACACCCGGGCTCGCATTGGGGCGAAAACAATCGTTCGTATCCATATACATATCATTCATCTACGTTACCGAATCGAACTACACAACTAGGGCGCCGGAACGTCGTCTTCGTCGAGGACGCCAATGAGGTACTTGGCGAGCGTCTTGCGTGCGTCCGTCGAGTGGCCAAATAGCTCAAACAGCGACGTCGCGTCCTTCCCAGCGTGGTTCAAAATGAAGTCGGCGCCGCCGGGGTGGTCGTCCGAGAACTTGGTGACGTCGTAGACCTTCTTGGCGCCTGTCTCGCCGACGATAATCCAGCAGTCGTCGATCTGCGTGTGGGCCGCAACCTCGGCCATCGTGTACACGGTGAGCGACGCCATCGTTCTTCGATGCGGCCAAAGCAACAATGACTAGTAGGTGCGACGGGCCTTGGCGCGCTTTCTATGATGCCATATCCGCCAATCAGCGGGCGCGGCGTCACCGCCTGAAACTCAATACCGTGAAAATTGAGTTTTAGATAGTCGATATCGGTGCAACGGAAACTCAATTGAGTGGCCGTGGACGTTGACGGCACGGATACAAAGACGATGCGCTGGGACGACCGCGACACGGCGGCAGCGTCACCCACGTCGGCTACTCGAGGAGGCAGCCCTCGGACGCCCACTGCGTCACCTTCACGACAGTTGCTTCCCTTCCGAAGCAGGCGAGCGTCTCGGTCCAATAGATGTACCACAACCACCATCATTCTTGGCGCCAATGATGGTATGTTTGCGCTGCGCCGCAGGACAGAGCACCACGTCATGGACGTTGTACGATCATTCGATAGCCTTTTCAATCTACATCGAAAGTAAACAGAATTCGCGTCGGGCTTTAGCCGCTTTACACACGGTGGTGGCACTGCACCAATGAGAAGTCAACGAGTGTGTAGCATCAACGTCGAGCAGTAGAGTGTATATATGGGGTACTATCTAACTAAAACAACCTACGTGGCGGCATCGACCTCGAGCTGCGCCGTGTCAATGAGTCGCTGAATCTGGAACTGCCGCGCAACGATCGGCCGCACGTCGTCGACGTGCACAAGGCTCTCGAGAAACGGGAGGAGCTTGAGGAGCTCGTCGTCGGCTTCGTCATAGAACCAGCTCTCGATCGGAATGCCATTGTCCACTTGGTACCCAAACGCATGGGGCGAGTTGTCGATCAAAAGCACTTGGCGCAAGTCGCGGCCGAGCACGTTCAAGTCCTTGAGGTAGTTGCCTTCGACCGGCAGACAGTTGTCGCGGTACAGTCGGTGTCTACACTTCATAAGACAATCTGTCCACAATGGAGAGACCTGCCGCACTTGATGTATTGCCCGTACGGATCCAAGAGGTTGAGAAGCGTCTCGGCGTACACGCGCTGAGACGCTGTAAAGACGACCACTTCAAACCACTCCGACACTTGGGCGAGAAACTCCGTCATGTACGGCCGCTTCTTGACCGACACGGTGTACTCGGTCCCATTGTAGTCAATCTAGTCGTGCATATGAGACATTATCTCGAAACTCAAAGACGTACGGGAAACTTGAGATCGGCGTCGGCCACGTCGTCGACCGAGCAATGCACGAGCGTCTCGTCGAGGTCGAGCACCTGGAGTGCGCATGAGACTTGATGCCGTCGATCGAGGAACGTACGAGGCAGACTTTGGGCGACGATGCGTCCTTCTTTGGCAGCGCGACGGGTCGGACAAAGTCCATGACGTCTTCGTACGCAGGCAGCGTCTTCATAAAGTAAAACCTACAGCCTCAACGGTCGGATCGCGATAGCCATGGCGCAAACGCACGGATTGAACTCGAGCTCGACTGTCGCGTCATCGGCAGCTTCCTCGACAGGCGCCTCGTCGGCGACTTCGACTTCGACAACCGCTGGCGGGCGTGGCGCGACGCTCTTCTTGTCGACCTTGAGCGTTGGCGAAAAGAGGTTGAGATCACTCGTCTCGGGCGCGCTGTCCGAATCATCATCGTCATCGTCGTCCAAGTTAAGCTTGCGCGTGCACGCGTCGGCATCGTCGGCGGGCTTGGTGGCCGTCGGCGTCGATGTTGCCGGTGCTACTGCATGCATTGGCCACCATGGTCATGCAGCCCGCGTGTACCTGGCGTGGCGAGGCGCTGGCGCTTGAGCGGCGTCGAGGCAATGGGCGACGTCGGGTCGGCGTAGTACCCGGCGCGCTTCTTGGTTGGGCGGCTGGCGGCGGACGGCGACGTCAACGTCTCGCCCTCGATCGCCATCGTTGTAGTGTGTGTGACCCGTGAAACGCAGGCGCCACGCTTTTATTCCGATTATTTATCTTGCATACAAAGAATAGGGTATCGTCGCAGAATACAAACACCTAGCTAATGTATTTTAATTGTTTGTATTTTATTGCATACAACTACCTAATGATAGACCCCGAATCGAATCAAGAAGCTGCGGCGGATTAAAAATAAAAAGGCCGACCAAAAAGGCGACAGGAACATGATGGCGCTGTCCAAAGATACACTGGTTGATGCTAAAATAGCAATCAAGCAAGCAAGAGCACTCGGGTAGTATCCCTTCTCAACCCAATACGGACCTTGCAGCAACAACCATGCAGCCATACCGACGACGTCGACGCGATCTGAGTGCTCTCTGAAGGATCGGCACATTGGAGTTCTTTGGTGAATGTAGCAAATGCTGCAAAAAATATATAGAGAATGCTGGGATTATTTTCAACGGCCCACTACAAGTCGCTAGTGATGGAGAGAGATTGAACGTGCTGGTTTGCGGCATCGTTGGGCACTGGGTGATTTTTCAACGAATTGATTTGAATAAAATTGCATTTTCGATACCACGCCCTGTGCGCGGAGCCAGAACGCTGGGACCATTTCAGGGGCCAAGGACAAGTCTGTCTCGAATTATGAAGGCTCAAAGCGCCATGTATTGGCTCGCGTTGAATATCTAGCTGATTTATGTTGGAATAAAACAGCAATTGTTGGCGAGTTTCAAAACAAATACTTGCAGGCCTTTGATAGCCACGTGCGTCGACATACAACCTCTCTCGAGCTAGATAAAGCGTCCCTGAAAGTATCACAACGATTTGAGAAGGTTGCAAAAGTTTCGATTTGGGATCGACAAACCTCACGGCGGCCGTGGCGGTGCATGGCCAAAATGTAGAAAATGTTGGAGAATGCTGGGATTATTTTCAACGGCCCACTACAAGTCGCTAGTGATGGAGAGAGATTGAACGTGCTGGTTTGCGGCATCGTTGGCTGATTTTTAATTAATACTGAAAACATTTTGTCGTACAATGCGAGGACGTCACAGTTGTAACTTTACCACGCCCATGGTTGCAATCTCTCGGAGAGTTTTCTTTCATTATTGCCTAGCCTCGGGGAGTATTGCCCAACGACGCGCAAAATATTGGTTATTTCAGTCAGATATCGCGCTTCATAGTAAATGGTCATAACAAGGCTGTCCTGCCTTGTGAGTAGGATGAATATATAACGACCGTCGGGAAGCAACAGCAATCCTGGGGCTGAGCGTTGGTTTCGTGCGGCTGCTCTGGCCAACGGAAAGATCGTTTTTGCTTCATTTGATTGGACAAAAGGTAATGCTTTTCAAGCACATGCCGGTGTGGATTGGTGCAGCTTCCTACAAATCAACCAATGGCCCGTGTCCGGAAAGGCCATTGGCCAAAAGAATTTCTAGCCGTTGCGACGCTTGACGAGTGCTGGCTCATTTCCAGATCCATCCTGCGGCCATGAAGCTCGTGTCCAAGGTTGCGCTCTTCCTCCTCGCTGCAGCCATGACCGTTATGGCCGACGATCACGCCCAATGCGTCTCGTCGTGCCAGAGCCACACAGGGCGCTCGCTCGAGACCACCTGCGTGGGCTACCGCGACCGCCTGCCGCGCCCGGCGCTCTACAACAACTGCGTCGAGGCCTATCGCACGGGTACTGATATGAGTAACTGAGTTGCAGCATGCTTAACCAATGACGTAGGCTCGCGCGAGGCGTGTTCAGCGTACTGCAACCAGGACCCGAACGCCGAGTCGCACCTCACGTCGACGGAAGCGCTGACGTGCGATAAGTACCGCGCGGTCCGCCCCAAGGACAGCCAAGGCATCTGCCTGACGTCGTTCCGTGCGGCCATCAACGCGGCCAAAGTCTTTGTCGCCTCGAGCGACGCCTTGTCAGGCTCGGGCTCGAGCTCGCAGCAAGCGTCCGCGCCGGCGCCATCGCCCAAGGTCGAAAAGAAGCCGGAGCTCAAGATCAAGGACGTCAAGGTCGAAGGCAAGCCCAAGAGTGTCTTGGAGGCAGCGCGCGAAGAGGCCCTCGCCGCGGCGCAGGCGAGCCGCGACTTGTAAGCAGAACCCGTGACTGCAACTGTTCTCAATCTAAGCATGCATCATATCGTTTGCCTCTACACTGTGCATCTACAATGCATCGACTAGCTTTGCTTGTTGGACAATATTGTCTTATATGGTCCACACTCACCGGGCTTCTTGGTTGGTCCCATGACTTTGCTCTGCTTCCAAAGCTCGGTCGACGGCTGCACTGTCACTGGTAGAAACGACGCCACGAGCGGATTGGACGCCAGATGCACCCATCGATCCGCTCGCGTCGCCGGCAGCTCCATGGTCGTCGCATACCGCAGGAGCTCGAGCACCACATCGTAGCACTTCAGAACCTGCGCGCTGCTCGCATCCATGCATGCAGCGTCGCCCATGACCACGATGCGACCACCTACATCGCGATCAAGCCCATATCAAATCTGGCACCATATCAGACCGTCTGGAATCTGGTAGTGGCCCAGAATCGGCACCGACTCCCACGCGTGCGTGGCCAGCGGACTCGTCCGAGATGTCGTGTCCGTGATGTTGCGCAGCGTCGCATAGTAGACATGGCCGTCGACTGGGAACCGAACGAGGGACGTACTCGAGACGACGCCGACGCCGTCGGTGCGCGGCAGCGACGACCACACAGACGTCCCAAACGCAATGCCAAACGGCGCCAATAGCGCATTGATGCCGGGGACGTTGGCGCCACCGACGACCGGTCGCCAGTAGCTCAGCGTATTCGCATCCCATTGCTCCAGCGCCGCCATGGCCGCTTCGTTGTACCAGCCGCCGACGAGGAAGAGCGACGTGTTGGCATGCTCCAAGCTCGCACGCAACGCGACGTGCTCAGCCTCGAACCACGGCTCTTCTGGGTCCACGACCAAAAGCGCACCGTACGCCGCCAGCGACAGACACGTGTAGTCGACAGTCGCGATTTCAACCGCGTACCTACACCCACCCCTAGCCTCGCGATCGACCGTATCCGAAGTGACGCACCCTGCCTCGATGAGCGACAGCCACAGGTCGGCAAAGTTGGTGTGCATATGGTCGCCGTGGTTATCGAACGGGTCGATGCCAAGCACATCGTCTTTTGGGATGTACGCGGATGGGTACTGGAGGTTCCGAAACTGGTCCCATAAGATCTACGAAAACTAACTTAGTGCCGTGTCGGGGACAGGATGAGTGGCGCACGCGGCGGTGTTTCGGCGGCGTCGGCTGCAGCGGAATGCGCACGAGAAGGTCGACACTGCCAGCATTAGTCAGCGTTACCCGTAGCCGCCCCTCTGCCACGACCGGCGAAGCCACGGGAAAGGCCACGGACACAAAGACACCAAACGCGCCTGTATACGGACGTACGACAACCTCCGTGCCCGACGTTGTAATCGTGAGCAGATCGCCGTTCAATCCGGGGAGCCATTCGGGGGGCGACGCAAACGAGCTCGCGGCCGCCGTGGGATGAACCACCTACTCTAGTCCATTTACCAATCGTATCATCGAACAAACGGATACCGTGACGTTAAACACGATGGGAATCGCGTCAAAGTAAAACGCTTGGCGGCAGTGGGGCCACATGTACGGGCAGTCGGTGAGGTCGAGCGACGCAGGTAGCAGCGTCGGCCGCGGATCTTCCTAATGTCTGCTCACGAAGACTGTGAGAGGAGTGTGGCATTTACCATAAGGTGCTCCATGCTGGCGAGCGCCTGCGTCAGATTGAGTCGCCCAGCGCCTTGCTCGTAGATGTGGTGCCATGCATTGTGTAGACTCGAGTTGCCACTAGAATGCTTCAAGTGCGATAATCCAAGAAGACGAATGCGTACTGCGGGTGCGACGGCAGCCGAGACGCCGACTGCAGCAAGAGCGACTTGACAAACCCGACGTGGCCGTAGCGGAGGCGCTGGACGGGTGTCATGGCCGAGAGCAGCAGCGCAATCGCGCCCGATACCAGCGGCGCCGCCATGCTCGTGCCGTTGAGCGCCGTGCACGTGCCGTCGGGCGTCGGCCCCAAGACGTTTTCAGCGAGCGCAACGACATCGGGCTTGACGCGGCCATACCTACCCCTCGCATTTGACTCTCTCCTCCGAGCACGAGCCACTCTACCCAACATCAATCTCCCATGTGGTGAGGCCGCGAGATGAAAATGGAGCGAGCTAATGCAAAAGTCAGGGACAGACGGGATCGAACCCTCGACGTACGTGCGTCAAGTCGGCCGTGAGCCCGCCGACACCAATGACATCCACTTGATCGGCCGGGTTGGTCACGACGCCGTAGTACGGCCCCGTGTTGCCTGCCGCCGAGACCTATGCATAGCGTCGTCCTCAACTGAGTGTCGAAGATCGACGTACGACGATCAATCCATGGGCCGAGGCTTCGGCGACCTTGTCCACGAACGGCATGTCTCTGAAGTCGGGGCCGCCGATGCTAAAGTTGAGGACGTCGAGCTCGAGGAAGAGCGCATAGTTGATAGCGTCGAGGAACCACGAGGTATAGACAGCGCCGTCGGTGCTAAAGACGCGAAAGACGTAGAGGGCCGCGTCCGGCGCGAGGCCCGGGCAGCTCTCGACCGCACCGCCAATGACACCAGCCACAAACGTCCCGTGGCCATTCGCATCCGTCAGCTACACTTCAAATAAGCTCCTGGAAGCAGATCGATGCACGTATGTACGTCGTCTTCGTCGGTCCAGTTGGAGATGTCGTGGACGTGGTGAAAGAACGACCGCGCCGGCGGCGCAAGACCGGTATCAAAGATGCCGACCTTGACGCCTTGGCCTACGACGCAGCAACACATGCCATGCAAACCGTACAGTCATGTGCGAGATAGTAATACCTGTAATGTTGCGCGCCCAGAGCTCGGCGACGTGGTCGATGCCGTTGATCGCGCCTATGACCAGTGCTGTCATATCGCCATTGACGCGCATCCAGGGCGGCCTACCGAGCGCTGTTGGCGATGGTGACAGTGGGTCCTTTGGTGCGTCGGCCATCATCGATTGCGGCGCGAGCGACAGACGCGTGTTGCGGCTGAGCGACTTGACGTTGGTGTGCACACGCAGCGACGTCAGCACGTCGGCGGCCGACGGGCCATAATGGCGTGGATCCAGCGACATACCGCGCGGCGCTAGAGGCGATCGGAGCTGCCACAGCACAAAGTCGGTCGGGTAGGCGGGTGCACGATGGCGCACATGCGCCTGGATCCGGAGGTCCGCAGTGGCCGCGGCGACGGTGGCGCTGTGGACGGCCTCGGACGCATACGAGTCAAAGACGACGACGTACTCATCGACGCGCATGTGCCAAGGAGGCTCAGGACGACATTGCGGCGGAGACGCGAGCACGCGGCCGAGGACCGCGAGGCCGACAACACCCGCGACGCGGAGCATGAGCATGGGTGAGCTCGAAAAAAATTGAATTCGGCATATGCCACATGAAAAGATCCAGTGTCTTGTTTTCGGCATCCGAGACGTCGTCTTGTTCCCCCGGTGCTATCTCGTGGTGCTCTGCTCGGCGAAACTCAACTCTAGTCTCTAGTTGAATTGGTATTGCTCAATAACATTGCGAGCTCTAGTAGTACTCTACGCGCGACATCGTAAGTCGTGTCCAAACTGGTAAACAGGAGCACCATAGCACACCTAACCCTCAAACTAGAAAGTTCATCAAAGCTGCGATATATATACATATGAACGTGTTTCGCGTTATCTTCATAATTACACAAAGACTTCGCATACGTAGAGACTAGCAATCTCCTTCTTCATTCGCTCGCCGGTCCGTGGCTGCGCAGGCGGCGGCGCGGGGGCTCGTCTGGCTCTTCTGTCGTCGCCCTACGACGCTTGTGGCCGCGGGTGAGGCCCGTGACGACACGCTGCGATATGGACGCAAAAGTCTCTCGACCCTTGATGAGCCCTTGCTTGATCGCGCCGTGCTGCTGGGCGTTGTGAGGCGGCTGGTGCGTGACGCGTCGTCGTTGCTTCGTGTACTAACTCGATCGACTACGGTTCAGTCGACTACGAGTATGCGTTTTGATGTCGTTCAGCAATCACGACAGGTTTTTTCCTACTCATCACGTCTCGAAGTGAAATACTTAATGCCATTATTCCATTTAGTCATTTTTGCTAAATTTTGTCTTATGGAGGGAGCGTGCAGTCGACGTTATAAGAGGTAGAGAAACCTTGCCGTCGGGTCGTGCTGCCGACAAAAGAGAAGCATCGTATCTGTGCCCACCCCAGGCGAGAGGAAGATCGTGCCAACGAAGGCGCTCAGCATCATGTTGTACGTTGTAGTCACAATCTTCTCGAGGCTCCGCAGCGTTATTGCGAGCGGCGACACGGGCTTGCCTCGCGCGTACTGGACGAGGCCGATGGCCAGGTCCACGGCAGAGACCGCCACGTTCGTCAAGAGGAGACCTGCCGCTGCCGTGTACAAGATACGCACGGACGGGGCGCCTGGGTGGGCGAGCGAGGCGGCCTTACGCAGCGCCGACTACAAAGAGTTACGTCACACGCAAGTCGACGACGACGAATTACTTCGCCAATGTCCTTGGTCAGCTTGTCCGTGATGCGCGGTCCGAGGTATTGGAGTGCGCTGAACTCGAGAACGCGCTTGACGGCCACGATGCTCGCTGCCCGCGCCGCCCAAAAGCCCAGATTCGGAAGGGATACGTCCACGTTGGCCTTCTCGGCGTCATCGGTGAGGTGGTAGTCGATGGCGATTGTGCCAGCAGCAAGCGTCGCCGCGACGACGCACCCCGTGAGGCTCAATGGCGGCGCCATGTCGGCGAGGTAAGCGCGCTTGCTGGATGGCGATGCAATGCGTTCGTAGAGGCCACCGGCCTTCATCGCGTTGCGCACAGCGGCGTCCAGAGCACCGACTGCTGACGCCGGCGTCGACATGTCTGCCGTGTCGAGGCCCAGCGTGTGCATCGCCTGGCGCGCGGTCGCCTTCATGGCGGCCACCGTCGACGTCTGTGGCGTCGACGTCATTATGGGCAGTGTCACAATCGCACAGCGCCGGAAACGCCATGTGAAAAACGATTACCACATTGAAAATACACGTGTAAATAGCGTGTGATTTCCATACTTCATCCACGTTCGAGAGATGCAAGCAACCGGAAGCGCAGCCCACTGCACTACGAATGTGGAGTGCTGGCAAGGGCTTGCATCTTGACGCGATGCAATACCTTGTCCCGCTTGAAGCTCTTTGATTGCATGAGAAGCGGTGAGGAACCAGGAGGCCAACAAAGTCTAGGATGGATTGCTGTCCGGGGCTTATACGACGCTTTAGAGCGAATACGCGAGCGTCTCGCCGACGAGAGCGCCGACAAGCGTGCCCTTGCCAGGCGAGACGAGCGTGCCGATGGCGCCGCCGGCCGCGGACCCGACGATGGCGAGGCCGCAGCGGCGCAGGCCCAGCACCGTCACCTGGAGCAACTGGCGCTCGGTTTCGACAGCCGTCGCCTGGAGCTTGCGCTGGATCGCGTGGTAGATCGCAATGATCTCCTCGACGAGGAAGATCGCGACGCTGCCAAGCACCGACGCGCGGACGCCGGTCTTGACGATCTGGAGCGCAGCCGTCGTCGCGCTTTGGTGGCGCGCGTACTTGCGCAGAGCCGACTAGAGAATTGTCGGCCATGAGACATTGTGTGGGGCGGCAACTCGTGCGTACCTTGGTGACGTCCTTGACGAGCTTACCAGCGACGCGCACGTCGAAGATGCGGATCGAGATAAACTCGAGCGAGCGCAGCACCGTCGTGTTGCTGAGCGTCTTGACGCAGTGCAGCTGGCAGCGAATCACAAACTCACGCGGCGACGGCGCGACAAAGGCCGGCTTGTCGGCCTTGGGCTCGTCGTCGTCGCTCTCGTCGTCGTTCTCGAGGTCGAGCGACTCGACGTAGCCGTTGACGATGAAGAGGCCCTGGAGCAGGGTCGACTTGACCAGCTGCAGCGCGAGCGGACGCGCCTGGAAGTGGGCCATGAAGGCCTTCTGGTCGGCGAGGTACTCCTTCTTGCCCTTGATGATGGCCGACATGATCGCGACAGAGCTTGATGGACACAGTGACGCATGTCCCCAGCCTTTGTATTTTTTTCACCACTTGGTCTTTGTATGCAACTAAATAAATCAAATCCGCGCCTTTGATTGGCCACAACGATTTTATCCGGATTCCGCGCGCCGCAATACGTTGAAGTCCGGCCGAGGTTGGCGCGCGATGGCTCCTGTCGTGTGCCCGTTGGATGGGCAGTGTGGAAAATAGTGTCATCTCGAAGAATACTCAAGCCCGTGCTGGTGTTTATTACACTCCTCCACGTAGGACACCAGCTCGAGTCCCGACCAACGACAAGCCGAGTGTCGCGGTGAGCCGGTGGGAGTGCTCGACTACTGTAGTGTACTGCCGCAGTCCACACCGATACGACAATCATGTGCATCGTACAGTCTCGTATCCCGTTGAGAATGGACACAAAAACTCCCGCTCGAGAACTGTAACACACCGTTTCAACACACTCGTGGTGACTTCGATTGCGGCCGAGTCCTCACAAAGCTCGTTGTTAGTCGGCGTTCTTTTGTTGGACCACAAGCAAATAATATTGTGCTGCGAGGTATGCACTGGAGAGACTCGGGATGGGGCCGGTCGTCGAACGTTCGCAGGCCGATGTGATGTGTTGGCCGCTCTAGCAGGCTGTCGCAGCAAGCTCCAAGCACCAAACGAAAATTCACACTATATTATACCGATGACACCATTTAAATAAACACTACTTGGTGGGTATACACTACAACACTATTAGTTACCTTTCGATTCCAGCGTTCTGGCCAGCGACCACTCATTTCGCGAGGGATGGATTTGCCGGTTCAAACTCAACAGCTCATTCTCAAATCACCAGCGCCATGGTCCACTTCTTCGGCGGCCACGTCTCGGCGGCCAAGCCGCTGCTCGTCCACGTCCCCGAGGGCATGGTGCTGACGGTCGTCTCGGCCACGCTCAGCACCGGCGCCTCCGCGGTCCTCTCGGTCGAGACCACCGGCCTCGACAACAACCTCGTCAAGGTCGCGCTCTGCACGCTGCGGGCCAAGACGACCGACCAGGTCAAGCTCGACGTGGTCTTTGGCGCAACCAAGACCAAGCTCAGCGTCGTCGGTGAAGGCATCGTGCATCTCGCCGGCTACTACCAGCCCGGCCCTCCCGAAGAATCGGTCGGCGACCACGCCGAGGCCATCAACAAGCTCACGGTCGACGACCTCCAGGAGCTCATCCAGAAGGCCGCCGCCCGCATCGCGCTCAACGACGAGTCGCATGTCTCGAAGAAGCGTCCGCGTCAAGCCGAGGTGCGTTGCATGCCCATGTGGTGTATATGTTGCATGTTTGTATGTCCCCATTTGCAAATTACCCCCGATCAGCGTCGTGTCCTTGTGGCACGATGCTGCGGTTGGTCGGGGGTCCAGACCATTTGGGATAGTACTTGTAGCGTCGTCATGAGTTTTTCATGCTGCTACGTCGCGCGGTCCTTAAGGCTGGTTTCGGCTTTCCCATTTTTGGGATTGCAAAAGGCTTTTGGTCTTTCCTATCGAATTCATACGAGTCATAACCACGCTACATCTCTCCTCCTCTCTATATATATGTACTAGGAACCGTGTACTCAATGGCTTGTGTATGATTAGGAACCCTCCGCCCAGGACGACGACGACGACGCCTCGGACGCCGAGACGACGCCGACCAAGAAGCAGTCGCCGATCAAGCCTGTGGTGGCTGCCACGCCCGAGCCCAAGACCAACGGCGATGCGTTCAAGCTCAAGAAGAAGAAGCACAAGAACAAGAAGAAGTTTGTGCTGTCGACGCCCAACTAAGCTCTTATCAACCCACCTTATTTACTATTTTACAGCACTCGACTTGTTTGTCTTTGAACGGGAACGACAACGCTTCGCCTTGCTGGCGATGACGCCACGACTGCGTTGCTAGCCCGTGCGTCCGACATCCACACCGTTGCATGGATCACTCTTGCCAAGGATGGGACCCGTCGACTTCATGAAGCCCAGTTGCGGGCATGGGTCAATGTAGCGGGGAACCACTAGATCCGGGTTCGCAATGGCACAAAGGTGAGGCCTCTTCAACCGCGTCGACTTGCGAATGCGTCCAGCCTGAGCGCCGGGCAGCAGAGAGACCCGATTGTGCAAGGGAATTCCCTTCTGTCGGGCGGTCCCAGTTCAGGAGCCTGCATCGCGCGAGCTACTAGTATGACTCGTGCGAGTGGGGTCCACCACGGGGCACTCCCAACGACCAAGTGCTGGTGCCAACTTCTACGCATTCGGGCGTAGCGCTACGTATGCGAAGTCTTTGTGTAATTATGAAGATAACACAAAGCCCGTTCATGTGTGCTGTCGGTGGAGAAGGTCGTCTCGCAAATTCTCCACCTCTGCTACTCGACCAAGGCTCCTCGAAGCAGTGATTGCAGCATGTAGCTGCGGTACGACGCGCAAAACGCATCGGTGAGGTCCTCGACAGTGACCGGCGCATCGCGGGCGTAGCGTTCGGCCACGGCCGCGAGGTAGACACCACCGTCATGGTCATTCTTCTGGGCCAGCGTCACCTGCCGGTGCGGCCAAGATCGCCATTCGACACCCTTCTGCGCCGCGTGGAGCTCGATTGTGGCGTTGATGCGACTGAGGCGGTCCTCGAACGTGTGCCACGACCTCGCATCGTAGATCACAAGCTCGCGCGCGTCCATGGCCACGACGACGAGGCACCAGTGCGCGTTGGCTATGGTGATCGGTACCAGCACGTAGGCAAAGTTGAACCAGTTCGTCGCCTTCGAGGGCAGTCTCGGCGTTGGTTGCTCGCAGTCGTAGGCCCACGAGGTGCTCTCGATGCACAAGAGGCGTCGGGTGTACTCTTTGTTGGCGACCGCCGCGACGAGATGCAGCCAGGCGTTGACACTCTGCAATCGCAATACATCTGTCTCTAGACCAAAAGGCTTCAAGATGACGTACATCGTCGTAGAGCCACCGGTCATAGGCGATGTCCTTGAGCAGCGATGATGAGATTGGATATGGCCCTAGCACCCGTGCTATGCAAGCGTGGAAACACACTCGTAGTACCAATGGTCTGCAGCGGCGGTTCGTGCGCGTCGACCGTGCGGTACGCTTTGCCGAGATGCAAGCTCCGCGGGCCATGACGCTTCTTGTCCTTGACAGCGCCATCGAGAAGCGCCATATACTTGGAGCGCTTGTAGAGAAAGAAGTCGACGACGGCGTTGCTTTTTGTTGGCGCTTCGACGTCCTGTCACCAATAAGCTCGCACATGCATTATAGGTTGGTGAGTTTACCTTTGCGAGACGGCGACGATTCGTTGGGTCGACGATACTTGTGGGACGCGCGCAACGCTCGTGCTAGCACAAGGTTGATGCTGAATGCGATTTGGAGGGATGGAGTGAAGTGTACCTCGATGACACGAACGCGGCTACTACCCTGATCGGTCCTTTGCCGGCTCTCGGGTCGCTCTGGCCGCTCGTTGGCAAAATCGAGTCCTTGGCGCCGAGTCTACGCAGTTGACTCGTCAACAACGCAAGGACCACGATGGGCATTACCTCGTGGCCCAATATCGGAGCGAAACCACCGAGCTCGGTTACAGCGGGCTCAGCTGTCGTGCCTCGAAGCACCGGACTCTGCTTGTCCTCGGCCTTGACAGCGTCGGTGGCCCGTGGCGGAAGGCTGTCGTCGCCATCGCACGTGAACCGCTTTCGTTTCACCGCCTTGCTCAGAGGCGACTCGTGCACCGCGACCTGGGGTCGAGTGCGGACACCACGTGCCACGGGGAATTCGGGCGGATGGTTGTGAAGCCCGACTTCGTTCTGAACGACGAGGCTCCCGTCGGCGTCAAGGAGCAGGTGCAGGCCTGCAGCGCACAAGCTCTTCTTCAACGGCGGGTTGTCGTCGTCCTTTGGCTTGAAGCTCTTGGAGTTTTTATATTTGCACCAGAACTGCTGCCCGCTGGTGCCCTTGGCTCGCGTCGCACCGCGCGAGTAGAGCGAGATACCGTGGTCGCGCTGGAACGCCTTTCGTGCGCTCTCAAACTCGTCCCAGCTGCGGAATCGGTCGCCGTACACGCGCCCGAACGAGACGTTGGCGTTGGCTGCCATCAAGGGAGTTGATTGCTCTCTCATGGACCGTACGTCAACGCACTGTTGGATGGGTTTAGTCATCACAAATGAATGGTGCACAGAGATCGTGGTGCTTTGCAAAAATGACTGGTCAGGAGACACTCACACCCATGCAAGCAACGTTGCATACATTACTTACGCGGAAGCACTAGTGCTCAACATGAGTGCTCAAGAAGCACTGGTGCTTGCAGCCTCGCAAAATCAAACTCAAGCGACGTTACTTCAAAAATAATTGAGCATTGCGTCCTGTTGGCCAGAGCTTTTGGCATCAGAATCGTCCAACACGATACATATTGTACAATGTAACGTATTCTCTAGGCTATACAAGCCCTCGCAAACCGTCGTTGGCGGGGTGGACATTCGAAACCTCATTCTCAACCCGAACCCTGAGCGGCTCAGGGTTCGGGTTGCTACGAGTTGGACAAAGCAGTTGCTCGAGGTTGAAGCGGACCAGTACGATGCTTTTGATTCTCTTGGAGGCAGCAAGGATCGATAAAAGATAATTCCAGTGGTTCGTGGTCATGACCATCACTCGCCTAACCGTTTGCCAATCGGTTAGACAGCCCGATGGGGTCACCGCATGGGGTGACCGGGTTGTAAGGAAAGTGCAACCCTCACCCCAACCGACAACCAGAAAGCTGACGCAGCACACGATGGAATTTGCAACACGACGCAGCAACATGACACCGTCCCTGACACCGGACGCCTTGGAGCATGTTGCTTCGTTCCTCGAGACGGCCGAGTCCATGGACGCCTTCCTCATTGCGATGCCAGAGACTTATCTCTCGACGGCTCTTCTGGATCTGCGTCACCTCGCGACGGCCGTCGAGTGGCGATGCTTTTGGCCCCGCCTTCGTCTGCCCAAGGAGACGTACAAGGACTCGCAATTGCTCTGCCTTGTGCTCTCCGCGCTGCGGCTCTATCCGCAGGCTGGCATCTCGGTGCACGGCAACCAGGAATCCAACGGACTCCTGCCCAAGCTCGCGTGGCTGGGTCTCCACGACATGACGCTCTTTCAACGCTGCATGACGCACGCTGTCGACGCGCTCACGGCGCTTGAGATCCGCATCGATAGCACGTGGACACCAGCCATGTTCTCGCGCCTGCAAGATGCCATGCGCGGCCTCCGTCGGCTGCGCCATCTCGACGTCGTCTGCCCGCACTCACCGCAGAGCGTCGATCTCATCGCAGCACTGTCGATATCGCGCGCGACCAGCGTCGTGGTGACGTGCGTTGCAGCGGCAAAGTGGCCAACGCCGCTCGCGAATGGTTTTCTCGAGACGCTCACCCGCTGGTTGCAGGCGTCGCCACTGCGCCACGTGCATTTAGTTTCATTGACGCTCGAGCGTGCCGATGCCGCGACCTTTGCCGCCTTTTATGACGTCCTCTTGCAGTCACCGACGATCACCGCGCTGACGTTGCAGACGTGCGACGTTGCCACGTACTGCCCGCCTCGACTGCACACATCACTGCCGCCGAAACTCACGTCGCTCAGCGCCCACAGCGACTCGGTTGTCCTCGCTGGCGCGCCGCGTTTGCAGCACCTGACGAGCCTCCGGGTGTTGCAGCCCTGGGCTTGTCCATTTGCCGCGCTGCCGATGGCCGTGACGATAATCGCGTCACTGCGCCGTCTCAACGCGCTCACGCTGAAGAACATTGCTCTCGATGCGAACGACATCGCGGCACTGGCACCCGTCTTACGGCGTCTTGAGCGCCTCGTGCTTGATGGTAACATGGTCACAACCCACGGTGTTGCGACACTGGCAACAGCGCTTGAAGCCTCCCATTGCTTGCATCTGCTTCGCCTTACCAACCAGACTTTCAACAGCGCCAACGTCACCGAACCGAGCTTCAAGCAGCTCATGGTAGCTTTGCCAGCGTCGCTTCGAGTGCTGGACCTTCGTCGCAATACTCTACAAGACCACCACGCCATTGCTCTCGCCACCGTGTTGCCATCGTGGTGGACCCTCACGGTGCTCGATGTCTCGCTTAACGGCATTGGAAGTGCCGGCGTCGATGCGATTGCTCGCGCGCTACCACACCTCAGCTCGCTTCGGCGTCTGAATGTGAGCCGCAACGCATACGGCACGCTCACAGATGCTGCCGTGAAGCGTGCGCGACTGCCGACACTGAGCCTGCAGGACCGTGCTGACCTTAAAAACCTCCAAACGCGAATTCCGAGGTCAATGTAGATAGGGGTAGGGGTAGGGCTAGCTGAATAATCGATTTCCCGAGCGTTTGGCTGTTGCCGATACCAGTGAGGGCTCTGACGTGGCGAACTTTGAGCTGGTAGAGTGTAGTGACGCCAAAATACAGCACACATAGAGATGCTTCTTCAAGCTTACAACTCGTCCTTGGTCGGCGTATCGACCGGCACGCTAATCGACTGAGTGAGGCCGTCAGCCTGCGCGAGGCGGTGCGTGCGGAGATCGTTGCCGTCCAAGTCCTTGAGCGTCCACTCGTGGCCGTCGTACGACTTGAAGAACGCTTGGCTGTGGGCCGCAATCTCCTGCATGCGCGTCGTCGACCAGTACAGTTCGACGGGCACATCGAGGTTATTGTGAAACGTCACGTCAATCTTGGTGCCATCAAGACCGTACCGGCGCCGGTTCCACACCCAGAGGTTCGCCGCCCTACGTCCTATATAAGCAACACGACAAGAAAGAGACGGAAATATACCATTTGGTGCCGTCGAGGACCGGGCACCCGCCGTGTTCCGACATCGGGTCGAGTTCGCCATTGCCTTTTTGGCTGTAAAACAAGACGGCGTGCGTCTTGCGCGGGTACGACGCCAGCCTAAAATCGTCCTAAGCACGCTACATCGCACGATTGTGGTAGCGTACTTGGTGTGGCACTGCATGGCCATCTTGGCTTCCCAGCTGCCCTTCTCAAAGATGCCGAGCTCGTCGTCGGTCGGCACTTGGGCGTGGGCAATGCCCTCCGGCATGTTGGTCAGCGGGAACACTGTTTGGCCGCCGCGGGTGACGTTGCTTAGGTACAAAAACACGGTAGCAAAGCTACAATATCGCATCAGTGATCGCGAGATCGAGATTGACGAGACAGACCGGTTGGAGCCGCCGGTTTTCGGGTTCCAGTTCCAGTCGGGGCTCGTGTCGACGCCAAAGTAGTCGGTGTGGGGAATGTACGCTTGCTTTTGCTGGTACCGCAGCAGCTGGAGACCGTCGGCCATATCGTCTAGTCAAAAATCTCACATTTCCATTTTTTTCATCAGAAAACCCATAAATATACCTTGGTAGTCACCAATGCCGAGCAAATCAAACGCACGCTTGTTGAGGCTCACGGCAATCTCCGACTCGGAGTCGAACGCGTTCTCGCTCGTGCGCACCGTCGATGTCCTAGCAAAAGAGTGTAAAACTGGACTGCAAAAAATCGACAATTCGTACAATTTGGCGCCGCTCTGGTGGCCGACAAACGACCGCTGGAGCTTGGAATGCTCATTGTCAATCTCTAGAATACGCTTCACGAGGCCGTCCGCTTCGTCGTTGGTGAAGAAGTCGTGAATGAGAAACACGCGCGGCGACTCGTTAAAGGACTCGAGCACGATCGGCTTTTGCGTCGGGCTCTGCGTCGACTCGACCGAGACCGTGTGGCCCAGCTACACGTCTATGTTCATACACCATCGAGCGAATATTGGGGAAAATGTACCTCGACAAACGGCCAGACAAAGAGCAGGCCCGGCGCCACGAGGTACAGACGCTCGTTCTCTTCGATGTGGTCGATGGACTCGACGAGCTGACCGCGGCCATTGTACACGCGATCGGCGACCGTCGTTTTCACCGACGCGTCGTCGAGCATGCCATCGACGGGCAGGAATGTCGAGAGATGCGTCGCGAGGTCGAGCCCGGAGGTCGCCATGGCGGGCGTGACGTCGACAGCGACGCCGTCTACTGACTCGCCATTGCGGTACACCGTGACGTGGACGGCGTGGGCGGCGAGCGCCAGCAGCAGCAGAAGCAGCGGTCGGAGGCCCATGCTTCAAATCGCCAAATGCGGTCGACACCGCCGATCAGCGGCAAACCGCACCTTGGCCGTTTCATCTCTATATTTGTATGCGATTCCGTAAAGTGCGCTGGCGTGACATAGATACGGGCGGCCAAGATCCAGATTGCACTTGGGCCACCAAGCTGGCGCGACGGCCTCGCCGGCGTACAACGCAGTGCATGCGCTGGGACCCTTCTCGTTGCATTCTACGTGTCTTTCTCTAGCAGGTGCCGGTGTACGTAGACCGATCTTTGGCGTGGAGACTGCAACAGAGGCCGTCGAACGCAGAGAACCTGCTGTTCTACGTTCGACGATCGAACGATCAAATCCAGCGCCACGGCCATCATCTGCTCGTCGGGTATTTGCTATTTGCACAGCACGTTTCTTGCAACCACGGATGCAACAAGCCCCGTATCGAACGATTCAACGTCCTTGTGAACTAGAGACACAGTGACTAGTACGAAGCTGCAATAGGCACGCGTCTATCTGTGCGGTCTGCCCCCATTGAAATGCGATGACACCACAACGCAAGACGATGACAACCATACTACATCTTATCCGCGTATCTTGGCTTCGACCCGGGCGAGGACGTCCTGGCCCAATGCCACGTCCGAGTCCGAGGTGGCGTCCGCGACAAAGCGCCGCAGCAGCACGGCATAGTTGACGAGGAGGTTTGGGAACATCTTGCCGTGTGGCCACAGATCGACGGCGGCGGCGATGCCTTGTACATGACTGGGTGTCGTTCCGGCCGTCGCACATGTCTGCATCCAGTGGCGCGCCTCGCCTTCCAGCAGCGCTTCAAGGACGCAATCGTAGCGCGCATCCGCCCCATATAGCGCCTTGACGCCGTCTTTGAGGAGCCGCAGGTCCACGCTGCTCATGCTGGCAAAGTCCAGCGCTTGAACGGACACGAGGCATTGACTGAGCATCTCGGCGTGGATCGGGCGGCTCTCGGGCGTCAAGAGGGTCACAAGTCGCCGCAAATTCTGAAGCTGGGTCGGCGAGCAGACGTTGAGGTGCGGAAGGTACCGCCGCAGATGCTCTTGGACGAGCGCCATCGCGGCTTCGTACAGCGCTTCGTGCTCCAGAAGCGTGCGCCAGCGCATGTCGTGGAAGGTGCGCGACGATGTCCACGGCTGCCACGTCGCCAACTCGACGCGAACGTATGGACATATGAGCTGCGCAAGGGCCAGATCCCCGTACGCCGCCGCATACATACCACCGTCTGCAGCCTTCCACGCGGCAAAGCGCGCTAACACATGCTGCAAGTCGCTGTAGTCGTCGTCGACGTCGGCCCAGATGGCCTCGCTCATCAGTACCATGCGCTTGTCCTGGGGCACGAGCGCCTCGATCGAAGCGATCGTATCGAGCTTGGCGCGCAAGCAAAAGCAGAGCGTCGAGAGATACTCCCACATGTCTTGCGCAACGTCAAAGGTCTGTGCGTCCTTCTCCAGCTGGCTCTCGAGATCGCGGATCGCGTTGGAGGCATGGGCTGCGTCGACCGACGCCCGCATGCGGTCGCGGTCCCGGAGGTCCACACGCTCCGTGAGAGCTTCGGTCGTTGCCTCAAGCGAGAGGAGAAGCGAGCCAAACGATCGAAAGCTTAGGTCGCGCTGCTGCAAGACGGGCGACGCCGCCGGAATCGGAAGCCCAGCGCGCCGCAGCTGCTCGTTCTCCCACTGCGCGTCGGTGCCATCGTCGTCGTTGCCCATGTCGATGTCGTCGGGCTCTGAGAGCGACGCTTCTTCCACGGGTGGTGGCGGCGACGGCGCACGACGCCGGTCGCCCATCGGGATAAAGTTCTCGGGCACAAATGCTGTGTCATGCGGCGGTGACACAGGCAGCTCGGTCGGCCTCTCTACAACGACCGGTGCTTCGTCGTCGATCGGCGGCTCGTCGTGGGTTGGTGGCGCGGCCGTCGATGCGTACTGTTGTTGGGCCAGGAGCTCGGCGAGCTTCTCGCGTGAGTACTCGCCAGCGCCGGAGGTCGATGCGCGCTCGGCCTCGACCGGCGCGTCCACCCGCGCGATCTTGCCTTTGCGAACGCGAAACTCGGGCGCGTCGTCGTCCAGATCGATGGCCACGACCCGCTTCTTGGTCGTGGTCGCGCTCAGTGGCTTCTTGTGCTTCTTCTGGAGGCGCAAGCGGATGGCTTCGACGCTGTCGTCAGCGTCGACGTCTACTACATCAGGCGCAGCTTCGGCTACTGCTGGTACGTTGGCCGGAACCTCTTCGTCGGCGTCGACCTGCCGCTTGCCTTGGGTCTTCTTGGCTCCCTTCCGGCTGCGGAACATTGCGCTGGCACGGTTCAAAATCGGTTGCGTGCGTTCAGCCACCTTGAAATAAAATATTGTGAAATGTTTACAAATCGTATGATAATATTAAACTGATTTTAAATGTGTCCGCAATAAACTAGTTTCAGCAACAGGTCATCTCGATGCTGATTTCAACCACTTAATTGCCCATTTTCATCCCATTTTCACTCTGGGCAAGATGATTTCCCCTTGATTTGTCCGCACGCACCTACGCGTATTTTGCAAGACGAAGCCAACACTGTGAAACGCACTAGCAACCAGACACCACGCCAAGGTGTCGAGCATGTACTGCTTCTCGAGGACGTAGTCGCCCTTGGACCAGTAGAGCATCGCGAGCAGAAAGAGCAAGTGAATGTACAGCCCTGGCGCTGGTGGACTCTTTTGGAACCTGTCCCAGATCGGAAGCCAGAGCGCCTCAGCCGCTGCGTAGTCGCCAAGGAAGCGGTACGTCAAACCGAGGTTGAATGATGCAGCATCAGTGGGCCGTAATTACGATCCTGCACATGTATCTTCAAACAGCGCCTTGGCTTCGACGGTTTGGCTCCGCCTGAAGCCGATCAAAGCTGCGCATCCAAGCACTTGCGGAACCAATCTATTGCTTGGTCATAGCCGAAGAGCTGATGGCTGGCTATACC